GTGGTACGGAAGACGGTGGTGGAAAATGGTGGCAGGTGATGCCTAATGTTGGGTGATAAAAAAAAAAAAACTGAAAACTCAAAATGGAAACACATTTTTTGTGTTTTCATTTTTTGGCCAAATTTATAAACTGAGACCACTTATTTATAAATCAGAAATTTTACCAAACAAGTTTTTATTTGAGTTTTTTAAATTTTTGTAAATATAAACAGAAAACTGAAAACGTAAGTGTTACCAAACGACACCTAAGCGTTTTCTTCATTTATCTAATTTCTCCTCAATTATCAAAACATCTAAAAATTTAAATGTAAAATTGAACATGTAGCTCATTTGCACTACTAGTCTATATATACTTACACAATTGAGCGATTCACAGGAAAAAAAAAAACGAAGAAGAAAAAAAATCAATATTTCTCAGTCCTAATCACTTGTTTGCATTATTACTAAACATGAGAGAAATATTTCTTGCACAACATACTTTTTGAATCTCTTCAAAATTAGAGAGGTTGGGAGAGAAAAAAGAAATGTAAAGATTATTAATTTTGTACATTACAAAAGTTGTCAATCTATTTACAAAGAAATAAAAACATAACCAAATAAGGGTTGTTTTGGAAAGTTGGTAAAAGGTTGGCTTTTGGCTTTTTATCAAGTTTTTTGGCTTTTTTGGAAGTGATTTGGGAAGTTGGTAAAAAGCTGGCTTTTTGCTTTTTAATTTAATATTTATTTATGGTGTCAAATCAAACTAAAATGACCAAAATACCCTTACCCAACATAAGAGAGTTATTTTTTTATTTATTTTTCATAGGCCCTAATTTGTAATTTTAGGGCTGCGTTTTTAGCACTTGCCAAATGACTTTTTTGGCTTTTTTGGCATGTTCCCAAAATGGCACTAAGATTGAAGAGAAACCACTATCTTTATTTTATTTTATTTTCAACTTAACCAAATAAAAATGAGAAAAATTATAATTATTTTTTTTTCTCATAACTTAACAAATAATTTCATTTATTTTCTCTCCTAAATATTTAAATGTATTGTTAATATCTAATTGTGACTATTTTATTCAACATGTATTTTTTTATTATTTCGAGAGTATCACACTATTTGTTACAAAATTAATTTATAATTTACTACACAACTAATTTGAAGAAATTTTTTAAAAGTAAAAAAAAAAACCTATATTGATTATTATAAATTTATAATAAACTCCACTCAACAAAAGCATTAGAGTTATGTTAAGGATTCTAAATAAATTATCAAATTTTTTACCAAATCTCTTATATGAGTATGAGATTTACACAAAATTTGGGTAAGTCCCACACCTATGTAAGAGATTTGGTAAAAAATTTGATAAGGAAAATATTATAGACCCCAAAATTTCTACAAAACAAATGATTAAATGTCTCACATGACTGTAGGGTCCACAAAATTATAGACCCTACACATATATCAACCATTTAATCATTTATTTAATAAAAAATTTAATATCCCTAATATTACCTATTTGATAATTTATTTAAAATTTATACCATTCTCCAAAGCATTATGCCTATCTCCCTCCCGTGATGCCCCAATGTGGCAACCAAAAACAACAAAAAGCCACCACACCACACCCCACTGTTCGCTTCCCCTTCCGCATAAAAACAACCCCAAAAAACTTCACAACACACCCACTTCCCAAACCCCAAAACCAAAACAATGAACCTCTCATCTCCTCTCCACCTTCTCAAATCCTCACTCATTCTTCTTCTTCTGCAATTACCTCTCAATGATTCAAGCTACCACGAATACTCACTAGCACTCTCAAAATCCATACTCTTCTTCGAGGGCCAGAGGTCCGGATTTTTGCCGAACGATCAGAGAATTATTTGGAGATCGAATTCCGGACTTGGCGACGGTTGGACGGTGAACGCCGACTTGACGGGCGGTTATTACGACGCCGGCGATAACGTCAAGTTCGGTTTTCCGATGGCGTTTACCGCCACAATGTTGGCTTGGAGCGTGATCGAGTTCGGCGATTCGATGCCCAACGGCGAGTTGAGGAACGCGCTGGTCGCGACTCGTTGGGTCTCAGATTATCTTCTCAAGACGGTTTCTCAGCTTCCCAACCGAATTTTTGTGCAGGTAATGTTAGTAATGGTAGGGGTGTTTTCGTAGTTTTGGTAGTGGGGATGAGGGGCAAAATTGGTAATGACTGAGTGTGACGCTTCGATATTCTTTTTTTGGAACTTTTATTTTCATACCTCACTTTTTTATCACAACAGGATTCCCTGTTGGGTTTGGTTTTAAATTTTATTTTAAAAATTTTGAATTCTGAATTTTTCGTATTTTGTAAATATTTTTTTCAATTTTTTTTGTTTATAATTTTTAGATGAATAATTAAAAATTAAAATATTAGAGAAAGAATTTTAAAAAATTCAATAAATATAAAAAATACGTAAAAGTACTCAATTTATATATATATTTTTTGTGTTTAGTGATATTTTTTAAAAAATAAATCACAAATATTTAATATTTAATGTTTAAGTGCATCATCTAAAAATTAAAAGAAATACATAAAAATACAAAAAGTAAAAAATTCAAAAACTATATTTAGAGTATATAAGTTTTTTTATTTTTTATGATTCAACTACACATTTTTGTTAAAATTTTAGCAACCATATTTTTTGTTTGAATTCTCATTGCTATATCATTAATTTTCATTTGAGAATTGATTTTCAAATTATAAAATTTTGTTGAGAAAATAATATAAGAGCTAAGGATAGAAAATAGTACGTGTCCGTGACATGAGAGACGTCGCTTTTTCTCTATAGATTAGACCAACTAATCCGCGAGGGAGTGAGAATGGGAAAACGAGTGAGATTTATTTATATGTGTATGTGACTCACATTATAACTGATGTGGATCGCTTTAAAAATTATGAGTTCTCAAAAAAAAAAAATCTCTATCATTTTACGTGTAAAATCCACGTCATCATAAATCGTATGAATTACTTTCGAGGTTGGTGGGTCTATCATTGTTGAGGGAGAATGGCAGTGTGGTCCTGTTTGAGTCCGCGGATGTTGCTGGGTTTGACACTTTTGGTCCCACCAGTTCTCACAGATAATAAATCTAGCGGTAGCTCAATTTTCGAAATGTGCCTTTATTTTGCTGTCGTTTAACAAAAAAAAATTTAGTTTAGCTTTTTGATGTTGAGACTTTTTTAAGTTGGAATTAAAAATTTTATTTGAGAGGAAATTTTTTTTTTTTTTAAAACTTTTTTAAGTGAAAAATTAAAATGATTATGGTTTGAATATGTCATTTTGTTTTATTAATTTATTTAGTCTATTTCATATTTTTTTTTGTACTTTTTTAATCCCAACTTATGTGTCCATTTTTTAAATAAAATTGTATTGATTTATGTATTTTTTGTGTCCAATTTTTATTTATTTTTGATATCTTGAATCCATGGTGATGAAGAGTCTATCTAGGTTTTCAAGTTAAAAAGTAATTAACTAAAAACACGGTTAAAAAAAAAGAGAGAGAAAATAACAGAGTCCAATTTCCCAAACGATCCCTAAAACCAATGAGCAAGTTGTTATTTTATGAACTTTTCTTGAGATTTTATATGCTCAGTTTGTTTGTCCTTATTGTGATGAATAATATTACTATATGTATCAATTAGTATATTGATTAATGTACTAATTGATAATGTATCATAATTTTAGAGGTTTTGGATTTTGTACTGCTTTTAACATTAACTATTTATTTAATAGTGATAAATTTGTTACATTAAACTATGATTTAATGATTGAGTTATGCTAGGGACCTTAAGTAAATTATTAAATAAATTATCAAACCTCTCACGTAGGTGTAGGACTCACATAAGAAGACCCACACAAACCACATGGGTGTGATATATACACGTGAGAGGTTTGATAATTTATTTGGAATTCATAACATTTTCTTTAATGATTTATTAGTAATAAGTTTGTGACTGATGCATGGAGAGTAATCTTAGAATCATTCATTATGTTTTCAGAAAATTGAATCAATTTTTTATTTTCTATATATTTTTATTTTTAATGAACTTTTTTAATATTGTACGTAATTTTTTTATTTTTTAAATATACCTAATCTAAATACGTTTAAATTTATAATAATTTTAAAAAAAAATTTAAAAAACCACTAAATACAAAAAATATAAAAAATACAAAAATTTAATATATTTTCGTATTTTGTAGTATTTAATTAATTTTTTAAAGATTTATGTTCAATTTTTTACTTTTTAAGTATATTAAGATTAAGTGAATCTAAAAATCAAAAAATATCTGATTAAAATATTTTAAAAATCATTAAAAATATAAAAATGAATTGAAAATTCAAAAAACTATTATTGTATATATCACAGTTTGGTGTAGTAATATGGGTGTATGGCCCTTTTTTTTTATTAATTTTTTTTTTCCCCTTTCAATTTAGGACTTTGTTTTATAGTGTTGGTGTAGCTTCTTTTGCATTTAAATTATGACAAAAATAACTTCGATATTTTTTTTTGTTGAAAAAATTGACTTTTGAGTAGATAGATGAGTAATGTTTTTATACATTTAGAATATTGTTTCGAGCTTGTAATAATTTGCACCAAATTCGGCCTTAACACAAGTACATAGGATAACATGATTTAAGCACGGGCTTGTGGAAACATATTGATGAAGTCTTTTGTAGGGTTTAGATATTGAATTTATAAAAATAAAAGCAGCGTTTGGCCAAGTTTTTGGACTCCGCTTATGAGTTGTGAAGCTTAAGTTCGAGCCTTATCAATTCATCATTATGCCTCTTCCTAAATAAATTATATAAGTTGCTTTGAGAATTGACTATTTTAATTAATTTTTTTTAGTTTTTAATGAAAAAAACGTACAGAAAAATAGAGAGAACAATTGATTTTTTTTTACTATTTTAATCTATTGTCAAAACTTGTTTTTTTTCTTTCTTCATTTCACTAATTTTAAATCCAAACACAACTAGAATCAATCACCGGTCACTAGACTACAAAATTTTTTAGAGGTTGTTTATACTTCAGAGGATGGATGAGGTGATTATGATTCCAGTACCTTTAGTCATGGGTTATCCCTCATACTAGTACATACTGGCCACAAACACAGGTAGCTCAACAGAGCATCCACAATGGAGCTGTTAGCGTCAGTTGTTAATTTTTGACAACAAAGTTTGTTGTTTGGTGCTGCAGTAGAGCTGCTAACGGCAGCGTTGACACACTTTGTCAGCGTCAAATGTTAGAAAGTGTGTTAACTGCAGTGAGCATTTTAACCAGCGAAGGGAGTGCTAACGGCAGCGTTGACACACTTTGTCAGCGTCAAATGTTAGAAAGTGTGTTAACTGCAGTGAGCATTTTAACCAGCGAAGGGAGAGAGGAGTGTGCCTGGGGGAAGTCTGCCCGGACGTCCTCCCGGAACTCCCCCTGGACGTCCGGTCAGAAGTTCACCCCAACGTCTATATATTTTGGTCGGACCGGTTGACTGGTCAACGGCAATATATATATATATATATATATTTTTACTTTGAGATTTTTTTTGGGCTTGAAATTTAATTTTGGACTTGAAATTTGGTTGACTGGTCAACGGCAATATATATATATATATATATTTTTACTTGTTGAGATTTTTTTTGGGCTTGAAATTTAATTTTGGACTTGAAATTTTTTATTACACTAAATTATTTATTTATTATATATACATATATATGTATATTCTTAACACATTTATTGTATCACCATTTATTACTATTTATTTACTAAATTAACAAACTCTTAACATATATTTTTGGATCCCACTTTTAATATTTTTTTTGTTATATAGCACATTTTAACACATCCATTGTGGATGCCCTCAGTCACTGGTCACTAGTCACTAGTCACTAGACTACTATATTGGCAACGTCTATGATTGGCCTGCCTTTGGGTATGTCCCGTGAAGTTCTTCATCAACTTGTCCTTACCTCAGTATGATCCAATCACAATCACAGTTCTCTTATAGTGACTAAACATGTCTTAGTGTGATTCTTTTCCAAGAAAATGTCAAGTGGTCAAAGACATTTGATTTTTTTAAGTGGTTGAGCTTTATTTTTATTTTTATTTTTAATTTGCACAGGTTGGGGACCCAGTTATAGACCATAATTGCTGGGAAAGGCCTGAAGACATGGACACAGCAAGGACTGTTTATGCAGTGGATGCACCGAATCCGGCCTCCGATGTTGCCGGTGAGACAGCGGCAGCTCTGGCAGCTTCGTCAATGGCATTTCGTTCGTCGGATCCTGGGTACTCAGAAACACTGTTTAGGACGGCTGTTAAAGCATTTGAATTTGCAGACAATTACAGGGGGGCTTACAGCGATAATTCGAATATTAGAGATGGTGTATGCCCATTTTACTGTGATTTTGATGGCTATCAGGCAAGCATTCCTCTCTTTAATACTATACAATAGAACAACTCATACATCAAAATTGTATTGCACTACTTCGAAATTTTATGTAGTGTAGTTGAGTAATAATAATTCCTACCTCTGTTACAATTTTTACTGCACAATAACACAGACATAAAATCAACTATGCACAAAAAATAATATTATTTATTCATATCAGATAGTGAAGCGTGCTCTACAAGAAGGTGCTCTGCTTGCATTGTTTATGATCGGTCATATAGTTGATATTCATTATATAATTTTTTTAGGAGTGTTTATTTGTATTATTTTTTATTTTCTCACGCTATACTTTGGATTTATATTCTTAACTCATTTAATGAAGGAATAATTATACCGTAGCCCTGGAGGATAAACAAACTTGTCATGTAAAATAAAAAATTAAAGTGCAACAAAATAGAAGGGAAGTTTAAAGTAGCATTTTCTATTTTGGTCCATTCATTCATTATGTTAATTCACGAACAATATAAAACACAAATGCCTAGGAATCAACTAGGATTCGATTTCCCTCCTTATATGTTATAGTACTTAAAGTAATAGGATGATTAGTTGAGACCAGTTTTAGTGGGACATTGGTCCATCTTGTGATTGTGTAATCTAATTAGATTGTTTTCGGATTTGTTTGTTTGTTTGTTTGTATGCTTCTTTATCTATTAATCAATTGGGATGTGGGTTTTGGGTTTGGTAGGACGAGTTGCTGTGGGGAGCAGCGTGGCTGAGGAGGGCCTCTCAGAATGATTCTTACCTTAATTATTTACAAAACAATGGCAAAACACTTGGTGCTGATGACAATATTAATGAGTTCGGATGGGACAACAAGCATGCTGGCCTAAACGTCCTGGTGTCTAAGGTTAGATAAATGCTCTTTATTGTCATAAAACACTCCTTGTTTTTCACTTATTATTACGATTGTTTCAAACCAATTTTAATTGCTACACCTTCAAATTACCAACCAGTTTTAATTGCTGCACCGATACTCAGAGTTGGGATTTTTTGTTTCAAAAAAAAAGCGAGGGTAGTGTTATTCTTACTCATCTTTTTCATCAAATACACTATTTTTTTGTCCTGTTGTAGCTTTAGTGGAAATGACAAAATTATCCTTCTTAGGTGATGAAAGAAGAGGAAATGTAAAAAATTGAGGGATGGACTATTTAGGTAGTTGATACAGAGTGTAAAAACTTTGTTGCAACCCTGTCGAATAAAAATAAAGTGCAAAAGCCATGTATAATCAGAACAACACAATCGAGTAAGAGTGAGAACAGCATCAGCCAAAATTAATTAAATATAATATCGCATAGTTGTGGGTCAATAAGAGAGGGCAATATGAACTTTTTGAAAAAAGATAATTACATCTCGTATACTAACACTAGATTATTAATAGAATTATGCTAAAATTAAAAATAACTATTATATATGCCTTCTTTCTTTTCTCATCTTATATCGATTCGACCACCCAACAAACATTATATACTACATGTAAACATTTTTCATAATTCGTTATCTGGAGGAATAATTTCACTGTTCACTAGCCGGAGCACAATTAAAGTCCAGACAAAATTCTGTGTGGACTGACTCCAAAAAATTATTTGCACCTGTATGTAAATATGATGTTTATTGAGAAAAAATTTAATAAAATTCATTCCATGTCAAATATATATATATATATATATATTTTCCTTGTAAAAGTAATTAGCTATAACTCTTGTACATTTAGTCAATTGACTCCAATGTTAAAACAGAGAAGAGAAAAAATAAAATAAAATAAATAGAGGTGCATTATTGTAAGATTGACATGAACATGAACACAGGAAGTGATAGAAGGCAACATGTACTCACTCCAATCATACAAGTCCTCAGCCGATAGCTTCATGTGCGCCCTCGTACCCAACTCTGACTCCTCCCACATTGAATACACCCCGGGTGGCCTCATCTACAAACCGGGTGGCAGCAACTTACAACACGCCACCACAATCACGTTCCTCCTCCTCGTCTACGCCAACTACCTTGACCGATCATCGCAAGCTGTCAATTGTGGCAGCGTCACTGCCACTCCCACACTGCTCCGACAAATTGCCAAACGACAAGTGGATTACATCCTAGGTGACAATCCTAAGGGCTTGTCATACATGGTTGGGTACAGTAATTATTATCCACTACGCATTCATCACCGTGGCTCATCAATACCGTCAATCAAGGATCATGGAGAGTTCATTGGGTGTAAGGATGGATCTGTGTACTTCAACTCATCCGATCCTAACCCAAATTTGTTGGATGGGGCTGTTGTGGGTGGTCCTGGGGAGGATGATGCTTATGCGGATGATAGAGTCGATTTTAGGAAATCTGAGCCGACCACGTATATTAATGCACCGTTTGTTGGTGCACTTGCTTATTTTGCTGCTAACCCGGATCATAGTTAGCAGATTTGAAGGGCAAAAAAAAAAAAAAAATGGGCCAAAAAAAGCCCAAACAAAAAATTGTTCCCAAAACAGAGGCATTGGATTTGTATATAATTTGACATTGGCATTTAAGATCAGTGGAAAAAAGGTCTCTCATCTTGTGCTAAAAGCGAAGAGGGAAGAGGCTTAAGCTTGGGGCATTTTGTTTTGTGTTTTATTTATTATTTATTTTATTAGAATTTGTCATTCTTTTTTGTTATAATCAGTACAGAGAAATAGAAGAAATGAAAGCTGCATTGCGTAAACATCATATTTAGAGGTTGTTTGGGATATTCTAAATAAGTATATTTTTTGACTTTTTATGAAATATGGGTTCGATTTGAAGTGATGTGACTTAAATAACATGATGTGACTTAAATAGGATAGTGACTTTTTGATTTTTTCGAAGGATGCCAAACTAAGCCTTAGTAAAAAATGTCACATCCACCAAATCAACCCTTCATTTTTATTTTATATTTTTTTTTAAAAAAAAAAAGAGAATTAGCACACATAATTTCAACTAATGTTTTAAAAACTGGACCAGTGAGTGAACCGGAAAAGGGATCAGATGCATGAGTTACCAGTTCAACCGTCGGGTTAAATCAGAATCGAACTATGACATAATAAATATATTAAAATTATATTTAGATAAAAATATAAGTAATAAGATTATAAATTAAAAATATTAAATTACCTTAAATATTTTTCTTAATATTTTTTTTATTGAAAAATATAATAATATATTTTAAGAACCTTGACTGATCAACAATTCAACTGTCGAACCAGCTGGTCCAGTTTTCAAAAACATGATTTCAACCATCAAAGGTCAATCTATAAATTGTGTGATGGTAGTTGTACAATTGATGGTTACCTTACCTGTATGAATATTTATGGAAAATAAGTGAGAGCACTAATTAGTGATACCACTAATGATGTGGCAGTGGGTCTCACCATGAATGATTTGATGTTTTGACCTTTGTGTTGTATTTTTTTTTCTTTTTTTATTGAGTGCCATGTCATTAGTGATCTTTTTAGAGTTCCAAAATTAGTGGTCTCTATCCTTGTTGAATATTTATCTGCTTTTACCAGCACTTTTGGTATAAAGTCTTAAACGGGTCAACAAGAAGTGGTTGGGTTAGGCTCACCACGTTAATATTTAATTTCATCTGATTCGGTAATCAGATTAGTTATGGCAATAATTTTATTTATTACATAACTAAACCATGATTCTAAAAGTAAAAATTTTTAGGGCAAATTACATATACACCCCTCGAGGTTTGGCTAAATTACAGATGCCCCCCTGAGGTTTGAGAAATTACGAATTCCCCCCTGAATGCTATATTTGCATAAGAAATTAGGGGGTAATTTGTTATGAAATATAAACCTCAGGGGGCAAATTGTTATGAAAATACAAACCTCAGGGGGCGGGATGTAATTTCCGAAACCTCAGGGGAGTATCTGTAATTTAGCCAAACCTCGAGGGGTTTATGGAAAATGAGTGAGAGCACTAATTAGTGATACCATTAATGATGTGGCAGTGGATCTCACCATGAATGATTTGATGTTTTGACCTTTGTGTTGTATTTTTTTTTTTTTTTTTTTGAGTGCCATGTCATTAGTGATCTTTTTAGAGTTCCAAAATTAGTGATCTCTATCATTGTTGAATATTTATCTGCTTTTACCAGCACTTTTGGTATAAAGTCTTAAACGGGTCAACAAGAAGTGGTTGGGTTAGGCTCACCACGTTAATATTTAACTTCATCTGATTCGGTAATCAGATTAGTTATGGCAATAATTTTATTTATTACATAACTAAACCATGATTCTAAAAGTAAAAATTTTTATACGTGCAGTTCATTCAGACCAACTTGTCTCTAATTATTTTATTGTCTCATTATTTTTACTAATTAAATTTTAAAATACAAATAAGAAAATTTGGATAGTGCTCCGTACATACAAGAGTGATGTCGGTATCAATAATATCAAATTACAAGTGTGTCACATCTGCAATTGAATTTAAGTCCACTAAAGGAGTTTTAGTTAGACGGACTGCATAAAGACATAATAAATTATTAATATTAAAATATATAGTTCTTGAACTATTTGATTAAAAATTATATAAGTTTTATTATTGGTTTGGCCTTAATCTTTCTAATCAAATGATGAATTAATAAATCTATTGAATATTAAGTGTAATTCCATATTTCAATCCCATGACACAAATGCGCCTAATATGAATTGTCAGCACTTGTGGGTGGACAAGTTAGTTACCATAGATTGGAGATGGAAAATGTTTGGTAGCTTAAAATTTTGTAGCTTAAATGGTTCAAATCTGTCAAAACGACGTCGTTTTACACTCAAAATCTGTCAAAACGACGTCACTTTGGGCCCAAATCTGTCAAAACGACGTCGTTTTGAGTGATTTAAGTCATTTGAGCCACAAAATTTTGAGCTACCTAGCATTGTTGATTTGAGATTAATATGCAACATTTTCTGAGTTTATAATACGAGTACATAGACTTTCGGTTGTTAAAAACGGTCAGGGAAATATGAGAAGAGACACAACTGCATGGGCAAAACGACAAAAGTATTAAAAAATGAATAATGTTAGGAACATTAAATTTTTTACTAAATAAATGATCGTGCGCCCTGTAATTTTATGGATCACACACTTAATAATTGATCATTTATTTAGTAAAAAATTTGAGACCTATACCATTTTTCTTAAAAAAGAGCTTAAATAAACCCACATGTGAATTTCATTTCAAATATGACCCTACCAGACTATTTATGTGTGCAGCTCCAGCTAGGGAGAAGCATGCTAACTATTATGTGGTATTTTGAAAAATTGGTAAAAAATTAATTTTTTTGACTTTTTGACTTTTTTGGCAAAAAACTGACTTCTTTAACTAAAAAAACTAAAAAATAAAAAAACTAACTTTTTTAGCTTCTTCCCAAAGTGCCCCTATATGTTCATCTTCATTTTTTTTTTTCTTTCTTCATCTCATCTTCATCACACACCAACCACATTTATTATTCTCATTATAGATACTATGTGCTCTTTTGGAAAATTGGTAAAAAGCCAGTTTCTAACTTTTTATCAATTTTGAGTCACATCACCTCTCACGTAACTTATTCACAAAAAGACAAAATAAATTACAAAAAGTCAAAAAACTAACTTTTTTCTAACTTTCCAAAACACCCCTATGTACTCCATCTCCTATCTCATAATTGGCCGCCCAATTATTAGTGGCCTATATTAGTCATAATTTACTGTACGCCAGTAGTTGAATGACGAGTTAAAAATAAATAACGACGAGTTTAAATGCATTTGATAATAGTTGATACAATATAATATGTTCTGTATCTTTGTAGGGTGCAATTTAGCGTGGTTCAAATGAATTCATGAGTAATCCAAATCAAACATGGGGTATTTGAGGGATTTTTTAGAATTAAAAGTTTGAATTTCGGTGGTTGAGCGACAATTGAAACTTGCTTTCTAATAAAGTTCAAATTTAGATCTTAACATCAAGTAATCCCTAATCCCTTGTCATATTTGTTAAGTGATATTAGACTTATTTAAGATAATTTTTCTAAATTTTAAAATTAATAATTAGAAAATAAAAACTAAGAGTAATTATTCTTGAGCTTCCAAATAATGAAAATTTTCAACTTTTGAGAGTTATTTTTATCTTATAATTTTATACATCAAAATTGTACCAATGCCTCTTAACACATATTTTTTAAAATGAATATATATATATATATATATATATAATAAAAGAGAGAGAGAGAGAGAGGATACATTATTGGTAGGGAAATGCATTATTCACAAGAAGTGGGATGGGCCCATTTTCGAGAAGACAATGGCCCGCAACTTAGTTTTCACTTTTGGGCCCAAAAAAAACAGGTGTTGGACTAGTAATGAGATAGGCTCAAATCTCGTGTACGTGGTAGCTCAAGAACTTGTCAGCATCTTGTTCGCTTGATCTGTTTTCTAATAGAAAGCCCAATCCAGTTTTCCAAATGGATTCAATGGGCTCCAGCCCATTAACAATATTGGGTCAACAAAGAGAGGTCCATGGGTATTTTAGTCATGAAATTATAAATTTCCAAGTTTAAGGTTAATTTTGGATATTTTATAATATTTGAATTGTGACGTAGAAATCCACTAAGATTTTTTTTATTCATTTACATAACAAACTTTTTTTTTTTTATTCAAGTGAAAAGAAGAACAAAGTAACAGAGTTTTAGTACAAACAAGTAATCAAACAAAGGGCATCAGCCCCTAGCTACACTAGAATAAACTATGTCTGCAATCATAAGAGAAAACATAGAACTAAGAGGGTCATCTAGGAATATCAGATGCTCAGATTGGTTGACTCCAATGTTGGCAAGTGCATCTACACATTGATTTGCTTATCTAGGGATATATTGGATGCTACACTTGTATTTCTTTAGCATGAAATTAGTGTCATCAATCAGAACTCTGTTGGGGGATGATCTTTCAACTCCATCCTCAATTAGCTTCATTGCAGGCTAGGAATCTGTCTCCAGCTCTATGTTGCCCAGTCCTTTTTGCATAATGATTATGAGACCTCTGTAAAGTCCCTAAAGTTTTGCTTCCAAGCTTGTACAGTTTCCTAAGTGTCCATGGTAGCCCCACAGTCAGGTGCCTGTTTCATTCCTCAGTAAGCCTCCATATCCGGACTTACCCGGGTCACCTTTAGAGCTTCCATCTGTGTTCAATTTTAGTTTCCCTATAATAGAAGCAAATCAATAAATTAGTCTTGGTTCTGAGCAATTAGGGTGAAAGGGGTTTTGAAAAGCTTTCTATATTTCTTTGGGTTATTAGAGTATTCTTATTGTACTGATATGGGCAGGTTGAGTTTGTTTGCCAAACACCTCATTGTTCCTATCTTTCTATATGTTCCAAAGGGCTGTTAAGAAGGGTGTTGGCCATTGGAGATCAGCCAACTTGCCTTTACATTTCAGGTTGGATTTTAACCATTCAGATAATGACTTGCTGTCTTTTGTTATCCACCAGTGGAGATCATTCAGCTGGAGCCATATGGCTTTTGCTTTGGGGCAACCTCTGAGTAAATGTATCATGTCTTCTCTATGAGTTTGGCATCCGTGGCAAATATCAGAATCAATAAGTTTTCTTGTAAGTCTCATCTGGTTTGTAAGTAGCCTACTATGCATGGCTAACCAAATGAAGGTTTTAAGCTTTGAGGGGCTTTCATTTGCCATATCCATTGCCAAT